TATATATATATATATATATATATATATATATGCATAGGCACAATTATTTATTGAATTATTATCTTATAGAAGGATGCAAGCATATAAAAGATATAAAATTGGAAAACTGTAGATATATAGATAACAGAGCTATGTCATATTTAAAGCTTGTTCAAGATTCATTAACTAATTTAGAAATTATAAAGTGTAGAAGACTTGATGAGAATGGTCTACGTCACTTGAAAGTATTGAAGTATGTAATACATACAAATATACATAAAATATATTTAATAGAACATATTTAACAATGATGAATAATTATATTTTAATATTTTAGAAATTTAAAACAATTAAAAATCAAAGGATTACCAGCCATTACGGATAGTACTGCTCACAATGAACTTGTCAAGGCTTTACCTAATTGTAAAATAGAGTTTGAATGAATATTTTATTATTAAATTAATTGTAAATAGACTTCGAATATATTTTATCATTCATTAAATTATTTTTGATGGATATTTTAAAAAAATGTGTGTAAATAAATAAAATGTAACTGTGTTTATGTGTACTGATTCCTTTGACATGATTATTTGCAACTCTATCATAAGAAATAACTTTAACTTGCTAGAAATATTTTAAGAGAATTCTTACCAGTAGTCTTGAACTTTCGACGTAGTCTTGAATTTTACGATTTCTTTCTTTAATGTTTATATTAATAAAATTTGTATTTAGATGTGCCGATTAAATCAAATACATTTGATTTACCGGAAGTACCGGAAATTGAACAACTTACAGTTGGATCGCAGTTCCCCGCCAGAATTTGATACCGCCATGTTGGCCAGATTGCTATATCAAGTGTTAAGGTGATTCGAATATTATTTTTTAAATTGTGATAGTTTTAACAGAAAGTTGTCAATTAGCATCATGTCGCAGGAAATGAATATTTTACGCTGTTGTTCATGTAAAACATATCAAGTAATTGTCATATGCACTGTTGTTCATTGTCAATTGTTATAACTTATCTGATTTGTATAAATTATAGGTTCACATAGTTAAGAAAGCAAAGAAATGGCAATGCAAAATATGTAATTTCAAGCAGACATTCAAACAGGTCAGTTAATTTTGTAATAAAAAGATGTTAAATTTCAATATTTCAAAACATATGTCAAAATGGTAGATGTTGTGAATATAGAAAATGGTAGTAGATAATGGCAATTTTTAGGCTTATTTTAAAGGCTTGGGTAAAGATTGCCGTATTGTTGTTCAAAAGTTAAATCTTATGAAAGAATATGAGAATCAGGAAAATGTGTCCTTTAATAATAACAGTAGTAATGATAACTATACCAATAATTATACTGAGCAACCAAAGTCTAATGTAAACGTTGAAAGTAAATGGACCAAGTATTTAGATAAACCAGAGGAGATAGAATCTAATATTTTTCAAGCTTCAAGTAGCAAAGATAACAGTCAGATGGGAATGGATCATCTAGAATATACTGATAACAATACAATATGTGAGTCACAAAATGAACACACAAATATAGATAAGGGTATTTCTTATGAGAATGATTTTAAAGAAGATTTCACTTGTGACAATGAGCAAGAATATGATAATTTTGTATCAGAGATAGTAGATAATGTATCAGATAGCGATAATAGTAGCAAAAACAATGATTTCCAGAGAAAAAATGTCAATGAAATTAAAAGTAGAAAAAACATATTTGATGATAATGAAGATTTTGATATTACTATTGATTTTTAAATTCTTCATATTTTTTTTTTTATTTTAAAAAAGAAGTAAAGATATAAAAGAAATATGTTTATGATATCTTTTCCATACAATTTATTTTTATTATTTAAAAATTCATTGATTTTTAAGTAAATGATATACGAATTGGAATTTGGACAGTATTTATTTATTTATTTCACATGATTTAAATACATTGCTTTAACTTCAAAATCTTGAAGATATTCTCAGGACACTAACTGAGAATCTAGTACATAACACAGACATACAATTGTAAAAAAAAATAAAATGCTAATGGAGACAAACATCTAGCTATTGTATAGTGACATATTATTATATAATATTTCAACTATGATTAATTCATATTATAAAAGAACAAATATTGTCTAAAAAGTGTTTTGTAACTGTTGAAGCAAATGTATAAGTGAATTATTAAGTGAATTTCGCTTTTTACTTGTATACTTATAGCATATGCATCCATCAGCATTCAATTTTTTTTTTTCTTTTTTTATAACAGAGATTGTTAGGTGTAGTAATCACAAAAAATCCCATATTGTTTCTAGAAAGAGAAGAAATTATATAGAATAAATGTTGCCAAAAGTATTGTTTTTTTAATTTCATTGAAACTCATACAGTCTTAATATCGTGACTCGAATTACCTTTTTTCCCTGTCTCTACTTGAACATTCTAATAACGATTGGTTAAAATGATTGTAAGACATTTTGTAGCAGAGTCAATTTGTTCTGCAATGTTATTGTTTGAAGGCAATAGGAAAAAAAATTAAATGAATGGCAGTTTCAATAGAACGAACATTTCACAATGGTACCGGTGTATATAAATTTTCGTAAGGAAAGGCTGAAGACTTTTGGCAGGACGACTTTTACATTACGTTTTGTTCTTTTCGTTGTGCGTTTCAGTTCGCAGTCTGAAGTCACGTAGAATTCGAATTTGAAATAGCTCTCTAACGCGATAAACGAACTCTCTCAAATCATTCTTTTTTCTTTTCTTTTTTTTTTTTTTTTTTTTCTCTAGATAGACAATCTATCGCCTATAAAGCTACTGATGTCGGTTGTTCACTTCACCAAAGAAGTATCGTGTCGCTATTTTCGGATAATCGAAAATTTTAGAGTCGCTCTAAATCTCGTTAGGCAAGTATCGTTTCATTCGAGATAATTCGTTCCTTGTATAAAGAGAGACCTAAAGAGACGAATAATAGTAAATAAATTATTATAAAAAATATCGGCTATTAAGTAAAAAAAAGGATCGTTTAGATCGTTCCCGATTGTTGAACGCGCGTGAACCGCGTGATTATATAGTGCACGCGTATACGCGTGCGATCAGTCGCAATAATTTTGCCGTGAAAGGTATAGCCTTAAAAATACACACGGTGTACTCGTGTCGAGCAGCGCGAGCCTAATTAATAGAATCCGAACATTCTTAAATATCACGTATCCGTTCTCAATTAAATATCACTAAATAAATTACGTTATTAAATGCATCGCGAAATTAATATACATCTAAGGCAATGCTCTCATGCAGTCCTTCGACGATTTGTTCAGAGAGAAACAAACGAACCATCAGTACTGGTGTCTGTGTCGGCGATAATTCACAGCGTCTTGATGATGCCTCCAGCTACTTTGCCAACTTCTGCTTCGTCTATTCCAAACGCTGCTTAATTAAAAAGCAATAGTTCAGTACAACAGACGAGTCAACCGTTC